GTCACAGATGACATTTAATTTCTCCAGTGAAGATCTAATCATGCAAGTTAGATAGGATTTTAAAGATCTACATTTGAAAGAGTCCTTCATGAATGAGAAGTAAAATTAGATTTATTGTTAAGAGAGTATAAGGGAATCCTTTATTTCTGAAGGGTCCTATATTCAATTGTAGTAAAAGAAATTAAAATTTAATCTAACAGTTTTTCTTCATTGGATTGTCACACATGATCTCAATTTCTGATAATTGGTAAATTAAAGACTGTGATTGATGGTATATATGTGTTCCATTATAAAGGTAATTGCAAAAATGCCATTGATGAATGCAGCAAATAATATTTTCAGTTTGAAATTAATTTCCAGTTTCTACAAGGGGATAAAGAACGTGTTTGCCAAAAAAAAAAAAATCTGTGACATTTAAAAAATAAAGCTCAGATATGATGATTTTATAGACCTTGAGATTTTAAGTTTTTTATTATCTTTTAAAGTTTTATTTTACTTTTTCTACACTTTTATTAAGCTGCCGTAACATACATGTTCACAGTTTTCCCTGCAGATAAGAACCTGGGATATCTACATCATCCCTCTTTAACTTTCAACATCTGTTTCATCATCTTTCATTCTCACGGAAATCTAATGTCATTATGAAGAAGACAAGTGATAAAAACTTCAAAACTCCCAGCCGCTCAGGGCATGTGATGTATACATGTGATGCAAGAGAGATGAATCAGGTCTGGGTGCTATATGACTGGTTGAGGAGGCGATATATCATATATTGACCTGCTTTATCTACTTAATTGGGGGATGCCTCATCTCTGTGGGGGGTTTATTATTACTGAATTACCCTCAGCTAGTGCTGTATCTGTCCCCCCTCTACCCTCTCTGGGACAACTTGACTAATGCTATACTGTCAAATCTGTTAAAGTTAGGAAAAAAAGTCAATATTTGCATTAGTTGGTCATTTATTGATTCGCCTGCGGCTTTATCCAGTGATTATGTATATATAGTTGCATACTATTACTAGCAGGTCTGGCAGACATTTTTGCTAAAATTAGTGTTCGTTGTGTTCAATGCATTCTAATTCTATTCAAAAGTTATGCGGCTTATAAGTTGACATAGTATTTGTATTAAATGAAAAACGGCATAATGGAAGGCATTTGCAATCTGACAATTGTAAACTGGGTGTGAAAACGTTCCTGCTGCAGTCATCTGATGAACTGTCAATTCTTTCTTTTAGACTTTATTGGTAATATAATTGAGAAATGAAATATTAGTGTTAATGCCTGAAATGTCCGATAAGCTCTTGTTGATGAAGGTTATTTTCTTTCATTGAATCATTTCACAAAATTAATGATCTTTATGGTAATTCAATAAAGTCAGAAATGGCTAATGGGAGGTAGTGGATCAAAGGATGTGGTCAAATGATTCACCATGGGTTCTCCTGGGGTCACCGAGACAAGACTGCCAGATACTGTTCACTGGCTTCTGATAATTACACCCCCTTCTCCCTGATTAAATCCTGGTGTGGTGGGGGGCCTCATTATGTTCCGTCTACTATGATTATAATGTGTTCCATATGACACCCTCAGAAAGGCACCGCTCACTTCGCCATATGGTGGTCATTTCCTCTGCTGTCTGCTGTTGTCTTGTATACACATCTCCTTCTGGAGATAGACAGCCAGGCATCACTATCCCATCAGACATGGCCTGATGAGCCTGTCTTTCTGATTTTTAGGAGAAAAACTCTTTGTATTTTTTTCTTCTTTGTGATACTCAATAGTCGAGGAGAGGAATTTGTTTCTGGTTCTGCGTGATGGGCATAATTGACTTGAGTAATTTCTGTTTTGGTAATAAGATTATTTCGAAGCTACTTTATTGGAGGACAAGCTTTTTCAGAATCACTGACATCAAAGATAATATTGAAGAGGTCAAGTGCAGAGAAAAAAACATTCTCAGAATACAGGATTTATTGAGGTTTTTATATTGCTTATCTTTTTATCTTCCTTGAGAGCATATTGGAAGAGAAAGCTTTAATCAGAAAATCTGACTATTGGCAGCTATTATTCAGATTCTGAATCTAAATTCAATGATTTTTTCTCCCCCTCTGTCAACCATTATGTAATTCGTAGGGGCAAATTGATGTATAAGATAGCCTGCTTGTACAGCTCGATATAATAAATGCAGCAAAAATGGTTTTCCTGTAGCGAGAGTAATTATCCAATAAAAAAGGGTTATATCTGCAGAAAAAAGAGTCCTGGTGCCAGATGCCTGCTTGGAACACCTCATAAGCTTTTGTGTATGTATAGCCTGATAAACAAAGATAAGATCTTTATTATGAGGAATTAATGAATTTGAGCCTAGCAAGCTTTCACATATCAAAAATCGACAGGGACTCTTAGAGGGCATACTCTAAAACCTGGCCTGGCCCCTTTGGCCTGGCCTGGCCTCTAAGTTGGCCTGGCCTCTATTTTGGCCTCTAATTTGGCTTCAAACCAAATTTTGGCCTGGCCTCAAAAGTTGGCCTGGCCTCAAATTTGGCCTCTGTAAAAATTTTGGGCCTCAATTTTGGCCTCACTCAAAAAATATTTTCTTTTTCAGAATTTGATTGATTTTATTGATTTTTTTATTGGTTTCATTTTTTTTTCACAGATTAAGAGGGTGATTAATATATTTTTGTTGATATGTAAATGTGAGCATTAAAGATAATCATGTACTACCAACAATAAGGATTTAATCCTATAATTTATTTTATTGATTATCAATTGATCAGTGTACAGTTATTTCATTTTATTATTTACAGGTACATGTATTTCATACAGACACGCTACCGATACTGTTGCTTATAATTATTTAGGAAAAAAAAAGTATCAGAGTTTATTTCGTGTTTTCCAAATTGTGAACATTGAAAAAAATCTCTAGTAATAATTCATGTCAAATGTCATTAATAGCTTTGAAAAATTCCCACTTGTTAAGTAGATGAATCATCATCTTTCACACACTGTGGAGTGTTGTGTTACGCCTGCATCATCTGTGTGATATATGAATACAGGCACCTAAAGATTTTTTTTTTTCAAATAAATATACCAAGACAGATACCAAAATATTTATATTATACACTTATTTGATTACTCTGTTAAAAATTCATGTTCACTTTAATCTAAGAACAGTTGGTATTTAAAAAAAAATTAAGATAAATAACATTATCAGATAATTTATAACTTTCTGTTCCTAGTGTGCCATAACACTATAATTGGATATCAAATGACAAAAAATTCTGCAGCACGGTTCTTGAAAGGGAGTTTAAAGGTTGAAGTTAATCAGTAATGACATGTATATGTGCATAGGCTGTTAAGCCACCCAAAGAATTTCCTGCTACAACTTTCCCTACCTACAATTATCAAAACAAAAGTTGAGTTTGATGATAGATTATTAACATTTGTGCTGTAAAACAATTGCATCCTATTCACCATTAGAACCCAATCATATAAAATGTGGTCAATTACTTGCATATCATAGTATTGACTCTTTTTCTATCATTTGTAAAAGTAGTCAACATCATCAAACAGATTTTTTAAATTCTAAATAAAGACAGTTAAAAAAAACTTGTATTAAACAAGTAATACTTAAAAATGGCAAATTTAAAATTCTTTTTAGTTCTTAGTTAATTACTACTCATCTGAATTTCTTTGTTGTCTTCATAATTTAATTGTGATGTTTCTAAATATTTTTTTTATTTAAACAAAATTTTATTCACTGGTGTTATCGTGAATACGATTGGGCAGCAGGCGCAGCCTATTTTAGCCCTCTCCCTGATTTTGTAAATGATTTTTACTCTGTAAAAATTATCATTCCTACCATGGAAATTAAAAAAAAATAAAGGCACATTTAATAAATCATTAAGAGGATGTCTTTTTGAAAGTAAAATTATATGCTCTGTGTTATAGTCTTCAGAATTGCAACAGATCAATAGAAAATCAATAAAAATAAATCAGATTGGTAGTAGTGTATAATTATTTTAATGTTCACATTTACATATCAACAGAAATATATTAATCACCTGCTTATAATCTGTGAAAAAAATGAAACCAATAAAAAATCAATAAAATCAATCAAATTCAGAGTGAGGCCAAAATTGAGGCCAAAAATTTTTACAGAGGCCAAATTTGAGGCCAGGCCAACTTTTGAGGCCAGGCCAAAATTTGGTTTGAAGCCAAATTATATTTGAGGCCAAAATAGAGGCCAGGCCAACTTAGAGCCCAGGCCAGGCCAAAGGGGCCAGGCCAGGTTTTAGAGTATGCCCTGTTAGAGATTATTTCATTTAACGGAGCACCCAAGCATCCAGGCACGAGATGTCTGTTTTAATTGATAAAAAGAAAGCGTCCTGCGATTTGGCTAGATTCAGTACATTAGACATGACCGTTGATCAAAGAAGTTATGATCAAACATGCATATATATATTCTCAAAAAATAACTGTATCAGTAGTACAGATATAAAGATGAAACAATTGTTAACCTATCTAGTTTGTTGTATGTCATGGGGCCTGTTTCTTTTAAGTGCTGGCCTATCAGTAGATATTACATGTGTTGGGAAAGGTATGAAAATCCTTTCACACAGAATAAGATGAGACTCTCTCTCCAGGGGAAAGGGTTAAAGAAGCATTTACAGATGAGTCTGTCTGTTAGTTGATTGCAAGAAATAAGGGATTTTTATGTACTGAAAAATGTTTTGGAACGGACTTCCTAAGAAAAGAAAGTTAGTACATGTTGAACACTCAACAGTTCATTTTGTACACTGTGATTAAGCTTTGTAATATATTTATATATATTGATTCCTTCAAATATTTGAAAGCTCTTTGTGAAAAATCCATTCTCATATGGATTTTGCAGAAATTTTGCTTAGTTTACTTCATCAAGCATTCAATTTTATTTAGGGGGAGGGGGTATTTGCTATCTGTGATGTTCTTCTTTTACATTAGAATGTAATTTTCTTTTTGATTTTTCAGTTCTGGACAAGAAGTACAAAGGATAAGTGTAATCCACAACCTGCCTGACTTACTCCGCGACACGGAAAGTCATGACGAGTGTATGCGACGCGTCGTCCCCAAAGTCAGGGTAAGATCCGATCTGCTAGATTTTCAGTGTTCTAATGAATGATGCAATCCGTTTCTCCTCATCTTAGATTCTAAGAGGGGGCATGATTAGGTCAATATATAACCAATAATGTTCAGTGCCAGAGCTGGGTATCCTATGTGGAAGGTATGTTAGCAGTGAATATTTATTCTAGAAGGATTTATGTAAACTGGCATTGGTTCTTTTATTGCAGATCTTTGCCAAAATATTATTTTTTTTATAAGTATATTGTAAAAACACTGAATGCAATGAACTGTCCTTGACCCAAATGTTTTATATATGCTGGATAAAAAAGGGAAAACATGCTGAGTATGGTGAATTTGATATTTGGTCAAGAGTTCTCTCCCCTGATATATTTTGAATACCCTGGATATGTTGATTTACTCTAGAAGTCCCAGGCACATTTTTCTTTGATCATTTTATCTTCAATATCTGGAACATCTGATATCTTGAAGTTTTTTCTGGGTCCCATCAAGTTTGAAATAACAAGGTTTGACTGTGTTATAAATCTGTGCATTTTACTGTGCAGCCAAACAGCTTCAGTGTTGACTCAATTCAATTTGTCAGGTGTACAAACATATGGTTATAACTGTTGGTGTGCTTTTAATTGATTGTGGTTAACACTCGTCAATATGTTACACCTGTAGGATATTAGCATTTCAATATCCCCAGCATGAATAACAAACCACAACCCAGAAAAATATTCTATTATGAATTTTTGTGTGCTGGCATAATTTTTTACTGTTCATGGGATTTTTAAAATGAATGTTAGTCATAGATAGGTATGTTTTTTAAGAGATTTAACAATGACTCTTCAATCCAAAGAGTCCTTTTTATTGTATGATTCTCTATATATATTCTTGTGTGTAAGGTATAGTTTTTTTTATAAGAGATGTTGAAGTAGCCAGAAGTGGGGTTAGGGTATACACTTAAGGGTGGGAGGAGGGGAATTTTAAACCACACTTGTATACCATGATTACCATCAGTGTTTGAATTAGGACAGCTCATGTAATATTTGTGTATTCTAAGAAGATTGGATTTTATGGGGATTAGGCCTCTGAGAGAGTGCTTCAAAAAGAAAAGAAGAAAATTGTATAGAATTTCGACATAACTCTTCTATCATTTTTTAAAAATGAGAGAGAGAGAGAGAGAGAGAGAGAGAGGTGGTATAAATTTTGTCAACTTTAGTTTAAATCTTGTTCTTTCACAGGTGTCACAGATAGATATCATCTTGTCATTATGTGATGGGAAAATATAGAATCATAACAGAAGAAGCCATAAATCGGAATTATGAACAGATATAAGTGGCTGACTTTTGTTGACTTAGAGTCAACATTTGTTTTTCGTATTATGACACAAACGCTAGGCTATGAAGGCCCTGGGCCAGTATATTGATTGGCAAACAGGCCCCAAGAATGAAAGCCAAGTTATGAATTTCTGATCCCAATATAATCTTTTCCGAAGCTAGCACTGCTTTTTGTGGCAAATGAAACACTGTAGAAGTAATGCTTATGTCTCCATCATTCCTAGACCAAAATTTTGAATTAAGATGATATATAGTCTTTGAGTCAGGTGTTTGGTAATATTTAATAGACAGGGGATAGGGAAACTTCTTTTGTGTCGTGATAATATGTTTTTATCAATTTTCAATTCAATTTTGAGCTTGAATAGAAAAACCCCTCTCATGGATTTATTTTTCTTTTTTTGTCAAATCAGACACTTCATATCAATTTTATCATCAGAAATATTGAAGCACCTTAATTGATTTGAGCAGATATACCTTTCCAAAGAAAAAGCAGACTCTTGAGACATTAGGAATTTTAATTAAAATGACTGTATGTACCTTGGTGGCATTTTGGTGTACGTCCTTTAATGAGAAAAGTTTTGACAACTGCTTGAAGATAGCAGGAGTAAATTTAGCCGAGTGACTATAACATTCTGTGAGAGAGACCCCCCTCCCCATCTGACTAGCTGTCCATTCATCAGCACATCAGCTGTTGCTCTATCTTACAATATAGCTAAACTAGGGTCAGGCAGTTTTTCTATCTGCCAGGAATATATCAAGTCATAACTGAAAGAGTTTGTATTCTGTACAATTAAGTTGAAATTCCATGTTTTCCATGTGCAACCCGGAGGTTAAAAATTTAGACCATTCAATGTGAGATTGGCACATTTTTTAAGGCGATATATTATGTTTTACAAGGTTTAATAACAAACTGGTTAAAGAAAGATTAAGAATGACAATCACATTCAAGGGGTGTTCATAAACATTGTTATGTCAAGGCTTTAGACTTACAAACTACTTCTTTAATTCTGTATCTCTGTAGACAAAATAAACTGCATTAGTCAGTGCTTTTTTAATTAAAGTCTGCCTTCTGTAATGGCATCTTAAGCCTTTGTTATATTACACAGTTAATTTTGCTGTGTTTCCAGACTCTTACAAAAAACTGATTCATTTTTCACCAGTGACAAATTTAATTCAGTTGTATGTATATTTCACTCCAGTGTTTAGACATGTTAGAGCCAATTTTCTGTTTGCCGTGCCAATTTATGAGAAGTTCAATTAGTTTTACGTTCTTGCACTTCGAGAAACCACTATGTGTAAACCCATGAGAAATATTTTGCATAGAGAAAAAAAAATTTGCACTCGATTTTGTAAAACCCTGTTCATGTACAATACTTCATTTTGACCTGTGGATATAAGTGCTTCTCTCAACCACTAAAATTTGAGTATAGTGCAAGTGTACTTTTTCTAAAATTATATACGTTTTATTTTGCTGTCTGTAGTACTATCCTTTTCATATCCCTAATAAGCTTATATAACCCACATGATGTTTACTTATATAAAAGCTTTCACAGGATTCCGAGTAGAAAATTGTTAAACACATTTGAAAAAGTTCATCTTTAGAGGCTTTTTACAACTTTAAATCATGTGCTGCTTACATACAGCGTATTTTTCACATGATTATTTTTCATTTCCCTTCCCCGAATTAATCTCCATCCATATGAGGACTTTTCCCAACTGAACACAGCATGATCCAGGTTCATGTTCGGAATTAGTGGTGGATGCGATAAAGAGATGTGGGGTGGTGTCGCAATATAACTTAAAGAGATAGCACTTCACATCACTCGAGGAGAACAATTTACTCACTGAAATAAGTTTTACTGCATTTTTAAATGCGAGGGCAAACAGCTCTATCATTGATGACAGCAGAGAAAGAACCACGACTTTATTTTGGGTGCATATAATCTTATTCTTGGCACCCCGAGAGAAGATAGCGTGTGTACACAGTGGATAAGGTTCAAGTTCCTAGTATTGATAGTTGCCATCCTAAATCAAACAACTTAATTTGAAATTATGAAGATTTATAAAAAATTGATGGCCAGGGAAAAGCCGAATGTATCTGCATACCAAGTGCACCATGAATTTATGGACCCAAGAATCTACATGATAAATGGGAATGATACCAAGATATGAAATACATGTACCATTGTGAGAAAAAAAAAAACAAAAAAAAAACTAATGCATAGGCACACTTCATTTTCTTTTCTCCAAAGCTATGAATGAAAATTGTTCCAAGAATGCTTTAATGTACATAGTGCTGTTATCCTGTAGTTATATTTATACCATATTTCCTTCTGCTATCTGGGGTAAAGTCTATTAAGCCCCTCTTTGTCTATATTTTAGCCTGGAAGCTTGTTTGTGTTTTAGGGAGGAGGTTAGCAATTATTGCAGCATTGTAGTTTAATGCGTAATGAATTTCAATTATTTTTGATGGTCCCTGTAATGTGAAATTTAATGAAGTTAGTGTCATGACATGTGCAGGAGGTGCTCCTTGCATGGTTATCAATTTAGTCACTAAGGCTAGAACTACAGTGCAGGAGGTGCTCCTTGGTATCATTGTTATTGATTGTCCTTTAGTTACTATAAGCTATAAATACATTACAGTAGGTGCTCCATGGTCATTATAATTTAGTCACTGTATCACTTATTTATACATTACATGCCTGAAAACTCTTTGTTATACAGTGCATACAAAGAAAGCATTATCTTGGACAGTTGTAATATAAATAGTTGGTTTTCAAATGTAACATATTTCTGTAACAGAATGGGCATAGATTTGTCAAGATGTAAATCAATGAAACTAATAACTTTAAAGAAACATCTGAAAAAAATTATTAGAGAAGATTTCCTTCAATATTGGTTTAAACAAAGAGATGATGGTTGTCTATCGGGTAAACTTACAACATATTTCTATATAAAAAGAAGTTTTGAAATTGAAAAGTATTTATTATTAAAAAATTTTGAACAAAGAAAAATTATATGCAAATTTAGAGTGAGTTCACATAACCTCAGAATAGAAAGTGGAAGGTACGAAAAAAAACTAAACTCTGCTGGAGAGCAAACCACCCTTGCAAGAAATGAAAGAATTTGTAGAATGTGTGACATGAACTGTGTGGAAGATGAGATACACTCACTGATTGAATGTCCATTATATAAGCATGATAGAGATGACTTTTTTAATATTATTGCTAAAAGTAATAAAAATTTCTATACTTTAACAAATAAAGAAAAATTTTTATGGATTATGTCTAATGAAGATGACATGTTGCTTATCAAGCTGGGTAATTTTTTAATCAATATCTTTAAAATAAGAAATAGCAAATTATGCAATGTTAAACAAAGAAACAAATAAATACAAAAGAGTAATATATAGAAATACTTTAAACAAACTTTTATTTACAGTATATTGATTATGTATGTTGTAATCCCCAACTGCTGTAACATCATTTATCTTTTGTTAGTTACTGCTATCAATTTTGAATTTCTGCTTGTATGTTTTTTTTTCCTTATTACTTGTATGCCCTGATGGGCCCCAAATTGGTATTAATAAATCTTATCTTATCATTACAGGAGGTGCTCCATGTGGCCCAGACGGAGATGCAGCTGGCCGCCTCCTCAGCTTTCCTGCAGATTTTACAGAAGAACCTCGTTCCTATCCAGAATTACTCACAGACATTCCTACAGACAATCCTCAACAGTGTGGACAGCAAAGACCCAGGTAATATTGAAAAAAAAAATAATACATACACCAAAATTTTAGGCTATAGGATATATAGCAAATACTCCCATCACAAACCGTAATGATTGTAATCTAGCAAAGAACCAGGTATTACAGCAAAAATAGAGGTATCATAACAAAAGTTAATGTAGGGAAGATCCAGGCGACATATTCAAGAAAAAATCTCAATACATATCTAGATCCCCTACTAATAAAACATACAAATACTTGGTTCCAGAAACATATTTAGTTTAAGCAATTTTAAAGGATACTTTTTTTAAATTGAAGGATGCTTAATGTTGTTTATAATTGTGTATTTTAGATGTGGCTTCTGCCTGGTTGGATACCCTACTAGATGTCATTGATCTCCTACCCAAAGAAGTCATCAAAAAAGAGGTCAGTTTATACCCCCTACCTCCCCCATCCCCCACTCCGCTTTTTCAAGTCCTAGCTAGACCTCCCAGTTGAATGTTTAGTACTTCAAACCCAGGGAGTCTTTAAAATCAATGTCTCTTTATAACATATCATAGTAGCACATTAAAAAATACTTTATTCATAAAATTTAATATCAGACCTGTAGAAACTGCAGGGGTTGTGTCTTTTCAGAGGCACACTAGGAAATAACATTTATTTTTAAAAGCCAGTATAAAAAAACTAATAAAACTTTTATATTGCATGATAAAGGATTCTGTTCAAAGCAATTATATAAAACTTTATGTAAGAAGTTGTTTGTGGTTGATGTGTGAAAGTCTTTTTACAGAACTTTAAATATTTTACTGTTGTTTTATTGCAGATTCTGGGGTCCGCCATTGCCAAGGGACAACTGGCGCAGTCAGTCCAGTCTAGATTAGCCTGCTGTCGAATTTTGGGCAAAATATCCACCAAATTTGAACCATTTGTGTAGGTGACATTTTTTTTAAAACAAAAAAATTTCTTGTGTTTTTTTTTTTTGTCTGAATTTGAACCATTCTTATAGGTGACAACTTGAAAAAAAAAATTCTTGTGTTTGTTCTTTTGTCTGATGTGTGCACAAGGTGCATTAAGAGGTACTTGTACAAGGTGCAAGTATGCACTATTCTTTTATGTCAATACCTTAAGTAAACATGTTTATTCAGAAAATCAGAAATGATTGGGCAACAGGCAATAGCTACATGTATAAGTACCCTCTCCATACCAAAAAAATAAAGTCATGTCTTGAGATAAAGACCAATAATTCTAAATCAGTCAATCCTATTGAATTGATAAGTAGCATATTATTCGGTCCCCCAACTTGTTTCAAGATAGCATTTTTAATACATTATTCATAACTTCTGTTATCAGTGTTGAGTATATGAGTTATGAATTAGGGTAGCATATGCTTTTATTAATAAAGCTTTATTTGAATTTCAGAATCATCGTCCGTCGTTCGTCGTCCGTCGTGTGTTAACATTTCAACATTTTCAGCTTCTTCTCTGAAACCACTGAACCAATTTCAACCAAATTTGGTATACAGCATCTATGGGTGAAGGGGAACATAAATTGTGAATTTCATGGTCCCTGCCCCCCTGGGGCCTGGGGGGTGGGGCCAAAATGCAAAAATTATATAATCTTTAAAAATCTATCTCCTTAACTCCTGGACATCAAGCAGGCTAACTGTTGACATGAATGTATTGAGCATTGAGTCCTCTACCAAAATTGTGAAATTCATGGCCTCAGGGTCAGGGGTTCTAGTGCTAGGGCGGGGATATATAGATTATATAGTGAAAATGCATTGTTTCTTTAAAAATCTTCTTCTCTGCTCCTGGGTATTAAATAAACTAACTTAATACATAGTTATGATAAATTCTTCCAAAACTATATGACCCCAGGGTCAGGGTTCTGGTGTTTAAATATCATATAAATTATAAAAATGCAATATTCTTTGTAAATCTTCTTCTCCACTTCTGGGTATTAAATTAACTAACTAAGTACATAGTTATGATGAGCAAGAGTGCCTCTTCCAATATTGTAATTTTATGACCCCGGGGTCAGGGGTTCTGGTGTTAGGATGGGACTCTATTGATTATATAGTGAAAAGGCATTTATTCTTTGAAAATCTTCATCCACTTCTGGGTATTAAATTAACTAAAAGCACATAGTTATGATGAGCAAGAGTTTCTTCCAAAATTTTTAATTTTATGGCCCCATAGGGGTTCTAGTGCTAGGGAGAGGCTATATAGATTATATAGTGAAAATACATTAATTCTTTGAAAATGCTCCTGGGTTTTATGCCAATGATCCAAGTATATATATTTATGATGAAGAAAGGTGCATCTAGCAAAATGATTATTTTTTATGCCCCCCCCCCATCCCTGGGGGGGGGGGTGTTACATAGTCTAAAAATAATTAATGCTTTGAAATCTGTTCTTTGGTATTAATCAACAATTTTATGATAAAATTTTGAAGTATATGGCCCCAGGATCTGTGGTTCCTTTGGGGTGAGGTGCAAAACTGGTTATAAAGTGGAAGTACATTTTCTCTTTGTTACTCTGATCAACCTCTGGGTATTAATTAATAGAGTAAGCATGCTAAATTTATAATTATGATAAGCAATGGTGCCTCTTTCAAAATTATGAATTGTAAATTTCATGGCCTCTTGTTTAAAACACAAACCAGAGTTATTTGTTTGAAAGTTGTTACACGATACTCAGGTGACCTATGAGGCCCGTGGGCCTCTTGTATTAATAAAGCTTTATTTGAATTTCAGAATCAAGAAGGAGATTCTGCCGGTCGTGCAGTCCCTGTGTCAGGACGTGGATTACGAGGTCCGGGGCTGCATGTGTCGACAGCTAGACTGCGTCGCCAGGGGGCTAGGGTCTGTATCAATAACGCAAAAAGTATATATAACATAAAACTATATTGACAGGAGGCTAGGGTCTGTATAAATTAAACACCCAAATTATGAAAACTATATTGCCAGGGGGTTTGGGTTTGTATAAATAACATTAAAATTATATATTAGAAAAACCATATCAAGTCTGTATAAATAACACCCAAATTATTTATCATTTAAAAACTATAACTATATCACCGGGGGAGGGGGGGTGTTCTGTATAAATAACACTCAAATTTTATATCATATTATATCATGGGGGAGAGGCTAGGGTTGTATAAATAACACCCAAATTATAAATTGATGCATTGATGCGATGAAACAAAACTTGCAATTTCAAAAAAATATTGTTTTATTGAACATTTGTAACAGGGTTCTTAATCTAATTGATAGGTGTTATGCAGATTTTTAGTTTTATGACATGACTGTTTATCATGTAACATCATCTTGTGTAAATATTCCAGCCAGAAAAGTTAATAAAGGTAGAAGATAATTAATATCTGTTGGCTCCATTGTGTTACACAATACAAGGTAGAATTTTACTGCTACCAGGCAAACTGCACAATGCTATATGTGAATCAATACATCAGTGGATCACTTTGTATTCAAAAGTTATTGAAAAGTCTTCACATGTTTCAAAACTCATTGTGAGATGTTGCTATAAGCAGTGGTTTTTGCATGAATGTTCATAAAATGTCTCTATATATTGCTTTCTGTTGTGATAAAAAAAAATTGTTTGAAGATCAAAAAAAAAAAATTTTTTTTTAAAGTAAAAGCAATGCAGTTTTTATCTTGAAAAAAAAGTCATATATAAAATATCAGTTGTTTTCAATTACTTCAATTGACCAAGACAATTTTTATGCCAGCACCATTATGAATACCAGCTTGTGACTCTGTTGGCTGATAATTTTGTACAAAGGACATTAAAATTATGTCATAGATATATAATTCTTCCTGTATTGGTTTTGTGAAATAAAAGAAAAATAAGGGAAAGAAATATGATAGTCACACAAATTATATATGATTTTACAACAGTTGCAATATTACAAGGACAATTTTTGCATGATAAAATGACCTCTGACTCCTACTCTATATACAGTGTGTGCTGGATGCAGGTAAGATGACCAGTCTGTGTGCTGCAGGTAAGATGACCAGTCTGTGTGCTGGATGCAGGTAAGATGACCAGTCTGTGTGCTGGACGCAGGTAAGATGACCAGTCTGTGTGCTTATTGCAGATGACCAGTCAATGTGCTGAACTGAGTATGGATGACCAGTCAATGTGCTGGATTGAGTATAGATGACCAGTCAATATCCTGGACTCAGATAAGATGACCAGTCAATGTGCTTGATTTAGATATAGATGACCAGTCAGTGTGCTTGATTTAGTATAGATGACCAGTCTAAATTGGAATGATTTTATCCTAAAAAGAACTTTAATAATTTTTTTCAGCTGAATTACATGTAATTTTAGGGATACCCTATTCTCTTGGAACATTTTTGTGAACTGTGAATGAATTCTTTTTATTCAGAAACTTGTGGTACCACAATAATCCCTCTTGTGTGTAAGATCTGTCAGCAGGCAGTGCAGGCTGAAGACGCCACATTACCCGTGGTAGCCACTCAGCTGGGCAAGTTGTGTCATGGAATTTCAGGTGAGTGGGGATTGACAAAAAAAAAATCTACAGTCCATTCTGGTTTTACCATCAGGGAACTAATAATAAAACATTTTAATAAAAGTGAAAGTATTTTGGATTTCACCATGAAAGGATTGAAATAACAGTATAATTATCAAAAAAAAAAGAAAGCATTTTGAGAGTAAAAAAAATACTTATGACAGCAATAAAATTTTATATACTGTATACAGTGTTGTTTTCACCCTTTTACACAAGTTTGCTAACTATTTTGGCCCGTTTTAAATTCACCCATTCACAGTCCTTTTTAAGACATTATACTGTGTTCTTTGATTTCGCCCCATTTTAAAATTCGCCCAAATGTGACAAGGGCAAATGGGGGGAAAATAAAACGGAGGTGAAAATTTCCCTGTATATAATAATTTCAAACCTGTTGATATTGTTTGCAGATAATTTGACAGAGGAACAGAAGCAGTGGTTTATAGACTACTATAAGAAGCTTTGTCATGTGGGTTTAGAAAAGAACAAGGCAAGTAGTAGAGTGACCACGCCCGTAAGTGAAAAGGATCGCAATAAAGTAAGTCATCCGTGTTATACGAGTGCTTGGGAGCGGCTAATCTCTTACCCCTGGGGATCATGCATGGAGCAACAACTTCTTGTATTAAAGACAGATATATTCCCCGACATGATAAAATGAAATAAAAAAATAAATTTTCTTTGTAAACGTATATCATCTCAGATTTTTATGCCATAGTCATTGGAAATCTTATCTAAAGTTCAGTTGTTGTTCTGTGAAAAGTTCCATATTTTCCTTTATTTTGATTGATGTGTTTTCCATCCATACCTTTTCCCTATTACACCCATATTGATATTTTTTTTTTTAGAGTAAAATTCCAGAAAACTTGTAGTTTGATTCTTAACATTAAAACACTGATCACCTACATGTAAACACCCAGTTTAATTTCCCCCTATGCTTATCAAAAAATGGTTTGAATTAACCTGAGATGGCTGAGTGAATTCTTTTAATAAACCACCATCTTTTTTATTGACTGATGAAATTTGACCGTGTTTGAGTGTCTCCCTTCCCCCACCCCTCCCCAACCATGCTTGATCCCCCCACACTTACAGCTACAAGAGGTAATGGGTTTGTACTTAACACTTAGTTTATATATCAGCTTCTTAATACTCTATGTAGACTTAGCTAATGAATAAAGTGGTACAAGGGTAAAGTGTGACATCACTCACTTAATGATGGCTGTATCTGAAAAAAAGAACCTATACCTTTCCATTATATATCAATAAATAACTCAACAGCTCTCAGTAATAGGTATTATCTAAATGATAACCAATTCCAATAAACATGTATATAAATATAATAACTTTCAACAAGTCTCCAGTAAAAAGTAATATTTATAATCACATAAAATTACTACTTTCTAATTTGATTTCTTTAAAAGTATTACCTTCTGTCAAATTAATTTGAATATATATATATATATTAAAAAAGTACATTTATACTTATATAGTAACTGATATATCTGTATCTTATAGAAGTAGTTTATATAAGCTAGAAATGAAGCATATAAATGGATTTTCTGGTAATCTGATTCAGACTAATAAATTTTTCCACAGGATGCTTTATGTCTGTTTCTGATTGTGAGATCTAATTTTACAGGAATCAGACTTGCCCGATATCTTTGAGCTGGAAGACAAATTGGTGGAGTGTAGAAAAAACAGTGCATTTAATTTCCCTGTAAGTTTTCTTTTGATTATTCGCATTGCTGCCTATGTTCATGATTAATATATCTTTGATTTTCTTCGTTGGAGGGCAATCCATTTATTCAGGGAAAGAAAGGAAATTAAAACTAGAAGTGATATGCAAAGAACACTAAATGATGTTCAACTCTTCTGCCAACTGAAATGTATTTTGGTAATTTTCTCACAAAAAAAAGAAAATTTCAATTAAAGCAGAATTACATCCCTTAGGAGAGGGTCAATGCTCCTCAAATAAGCTGGTATTGAGAATATAAGGGAGACTACTCTTGATTTAAAGAAATAAGGGAGATCTATCTTGTTTTGCATGATGTACGTATCATTTAAAAAAAAAGTTTGATTTATTGATTGTTCTTCATGTTGTTTCCAGGCAATGGTTTTATTTACTGGTGCAAAACAGTTCAAGGCTGACCTTCATGTGACCTTTAGTCATCTCTGTAAGGATCCCCACTTCATAGTTCGGAAAACTATCTCAAGCGGTTTTCACGAAGTAAGTCAACAGTACATCAACATTTTACAAATTCTACTACATGCAAGTGCACTCTTACAAAATTTTATGTACTGTTTACGGGATTATTTTCGCCCTGCATTATTTTCTGCCTTTCACCCTTGATAACAATTTTGCCCTGGTTTAAATTCACCCAGTCACAGTTTTGTTTAAAAGAAATTATACTGTTTTCTTTGAATTCGCCCCTTTTTAAATTTATCCAACTGAGGTTAGGTTGAAAGGAGTGAAAATAAAACTGGGGCAAAAATTTCCCTGTATACAGTAATCATTTTGGACCTGATCAGAAAGTGCTGTTTTATTCAGAGATATCAGATAAAGGCTTACCTGCGGTATCATTTGTATTTGTTTTCTGAGACTTTATTTCTTAAATGATTCTCTACAGGTATGTAAGCTGCTAGGAAACAACGCACAACTGATTCAGTCAGATTTAGTGGCCTTGCTGAAGGATGACTCAATAGACGTGAGTTTGATCATCAGTGGTGTCTTCTTATGTTTTAAATTCTGCATTATTCCAAAAATTTTAAGCACAAGCTTTCTACAATTAAAATTAATTATAATTAATTGTTTTTTTTTGTTGTAAATCTCCATCATTGTAAATATGAACAAATTTTCACCCCTTTGTGTTCCTCTCTTAATCATTGTGGAATTATATCTGAGGATTTCAGTTTGGTAATGAACTTATTTAAATTTTTAGGTCACCTGAGTAACTCAGGTGACCTATTGCTATCCGTTTTCGTCCGTCGTCGTCCGTCGTGTGTCGTGTGTTAACATTTGAACATTTTCAGCTTCTTCTCTGCAACCACTGAACCAATTTCAACCAAATTTGGTGTACAGCATCTATGGGTGGAGGGGAACAAAAATTGTGAATTTCATGGTCCCCGCCCCCCTGGGGCCTGAGGGGTGGGGCCAAAACCACTAAAATTAATGAAATCTTTAAAAATCTTCTTCTTTACTCCTGGTCATCAAGCAGGCAAACTATTGGCATGAATGTAATGAGCATTGAGTCCTCTACCAAAATTGTGAAATTCATGGCCCCAGGGTCAGGGGTTCTAGTGCTAGGGTGGGGCTCTATAGATTATAAAGTGAAAATGCATTATTTCTTTGAAAATCTTCTTCTCTGCTCCTGGGTATTAAATACACTAACTAAGCACATAGTTATGATGAGCAAGAGTGCCTCTTCCAGATTTGTGAATTTCATGGCCCCAGGGTCCGGGGTTCTGGTGTTAGGGCGGGGCTGTATAGATTATATAGTGAAAATGCATTATTTCTTTGAAAATCTTCTTCTCTGCTCCTGGGTATTTAATAAACAAATTAAGCACATAGTTATGATGAGCAAGAGTGCCTCTTCCAGATTTGTGAATTTTATGGCACCAGGGTCAGGGGTTCTGGTGTTAGGGTGGGGCTCTATAGATAATGTAGTGAAAATGCATTATTTCTTTGAAAATCTTCTTCTCTGCTCCTGGGTATTAGATAAACTAACTAAGCACATAGTTATGATGAGCAAGAGTGCCTTTTCCAGATTTGTCAATTTTATGGCCCCAGGGTCAGGGGTTCTGGTGTTAGGGCGGGGCTCTATAGATAATATAGTGAAAATGCATTATTTCTTTGAAAATCTTCTTCTCTGCTCCTGGGTATTAAATGCACTAAATAAGCACATAGTTATGATGAGCAAGAGTGCCTTTTCCAAAATTGTGAAATTTATGGCCCCAGGGTCAGGGGTTCTGGTGTTAGGGCGGGGCTCTATAGATTATGTAGTGAAAATGCATTATTTCTTTGAAAATCTTCTTCTCTGCTCCTGGGTATTATATTAACTAAATAAGCACATAGTTATGATGAGCAAGATTGCCTCTTCCAGATTTGTGAATTTTATGGCCCCAGGGTCAGGGGTTCTGGTGTTAGGGCGGGGCTCTATTGATTATATAGTAAAAATACATTTATTCTTTGTAAATATTTTTCTTTGCTCTGGGTTTTAAGCCAATGATCCAAGTATATATATATTTATGATGAAGAAAGGTGCATCTAGCAAAGTGGTTTTTAATGCCCCCAGGGTCAAAGTGGGGGGGGGGGGTACATAGCCTGAAAATAAATTAATGCTTTGAAATCTGCTCTTTGGTATTAATCAACCATTTTATGATAAAATTTGCAAAATTTTGAAATATATGGCCCTGGGTCAGTGGTTCCTTTGGGGTGAGGTGCACAACTGGTTATAAAGTGGAAGTGCATTTTCTCTTTGTTACTCTGATCTACCTCTGGGTATTAAGTAAATAGAGTAAGCATGCTAAGTTAATAATTATGATAAGCAATGGTGCCTCTTTCAAAATTGTAAATTGTGAATTTCATGGCCTCCGGTTTAAACACGAACCAAATTTAATTGTTTGAAAGTTGTTGCACAATACTCAGGTGACCTATAAGGCCCGTGGGCCTCTTGTTTAATTCACAGGTACTAAAAGGTGTAGTGAGCAATATGCCGGCCATTCTAGATTGTTACATGACCAGTGGCAGCAATCACACAGTGAATGAGTCTAAAGTAAGAGGGACAACTCTGATTAAATAATTTGTATTCAACTTTTCCTGAGGGAGTTCTCTCCCTTAGACCACTAGCTCTACATTTCAGATCTAATATCCTATTTGTTTTATTTTCAGTCTGGCCCCCTTTCCGATATCATTCCAGCCTTTCTGGCGTCCGAGAATGTGATTTTTTCCTCCAATAACTGGAGATTACAGCAGGAGCTGATGGAGAGCATGGCTTGCCTGATAAGGTGTTACTCCAGTGAAAACCTCTACAACAAAGTCATTCCAATCCTGAAACAAAAGCTCTGCAAAGCTGTAAGATTTCTGTTTTCTCGAGAATTATCAGAAACCAAGATATTTAACTAGTTATAATCTTATATGGTAGGCATTGAATATTCTTTATGATATTTGTCTTGTCCAGAATTAATCAGACTGGACGTATAATTTGTGTATCTTTTGAAAATGTAACTGCAGTCTTTGAAACTGATCCTTTTGGTTGAGGGATGGTGATTTAAGTGTATGTTGTTTTGTTTTCAGAGGGCACTGCCAGTCAAGATAGCAGCTGCTAGCTCTTTATTGAAATTGACAAGGAAGGTGAAGAAACGTGAACAAAGAGAAGAAATATTTCACGTCTTAATTCAAGGTTAGAAATTAGATCCTTTGTAACAGTATTCACTGAGAAGTATGAGTGTTTTACTCAGAATAATGAATTTAAAATTCTTTCTTATGATGATTCTATGATGAACATGTATTTTTCATTTTTTTTCCTTTTATAAGTCTTGGTTTTAGAAAAGTTAAACGATTCAATTATTTTTACTTGAAAGTAAAGAGAAAATGAGAAGAGATGGACATTTTATAATGCTGTTTTTTTTTTTTTAAATTTTGCTGATCACCTTAACATAGATTTTTTTCCGATGATTTTTTTTCAGACTTTTGCCATGCCAGGAAGTGTTATCTTAGAAGTGTGTTTGTGGACATCTGTAGTGTTGTGATAGAACTGTACTCCAAGAAATTCTTCAAGGAAACTTTCTTTGAATATCTTTTGGAATTACACACTGACAGTGTGCCAAATATAAGACTACGTTTGTGTTCAATTTTACCTGACTTAAAACGTTTACTAATCCTTCCAACTGACCGAGGACTCTTACAGCAATTAGACGCTTGTGTTCGCAAATTATTAGTTTCTGAAAAGGACAAGGACGTGTCTGATGCTATTCAAAATGCTGTGGAGGAGTTAGACAAAATTCACATTCCAATGCAATCTGTAAGTCAAGATTTTTACAGTGATTTAGGTGTAATCATATTTCAGTGCCTTTTTTCATAAAAGTAACATTTTCTTCGTCTGTTATTTATAAGAAACATGTTTTCAAATATATTGGAAGGATCAAGACAAGATAATTAGACACTAGCCTAGAATTATCAGTAAATGTTAGTTTGATTCTTTTAGATGACAAGAAGAAACTTCTTTGAACAAGATTTTGAAGATCAAAAGAAAGAGGAGGAAGAAAAAATACTGTTGGAGAATGTAAGTGATTGCCATGGGCCTGAGATAGAGAAAGAAATGCTAATCACCAAGAAATTGTGTCTACATGTAAAAACTATATATTCACTAAATTGCATTCAATTGATTATAAAGATTTAAGACAGAATATTCCTTTAAGGTGTAGCACCCATCATCCTATGCTTATTTGCTGTATCTATATAATGATTTGTTTTCACTGTAGGAGGAGAGAGAACTGAAGAAGGAGGAGGAAGCGGCGGAAAAGAAGAAGGGAGACAAACGCAATCTAGTGTCCGCTAAAAAGGGCTCGGAAAACGGATCCTCCAGTAAAATACCTGCCCCACGGAAAGGTACGGGCCCTGACTAACAGGGCGGAATTAGCTAATAATCATGTGACATTTCTGCGTATACTTTATTTCAGCATTTTAAACACTGATGCTGTTTTCAGGTTCTCGAGCTGGCTTATCGGGCTCAAATTCCACTACAAAGAGTAAGAATCCTTTTTTGACCTAGTTTTTCCTTATGTATACCTGCTGTATGTTTCTCTATTTCGCACTAATCATCAGTATTCCTGTATTTACCTTCGAAATCCAAAGAGGTTTTTTCAAGAACATGTGCACTTGTAATTGAATCCTTTTCTTGCACAGCTATTGTTTTAGTAGAGGTGAACATGTAAAAAAAAGTATTAGTCTTCCCTATTTCTCCTTGATTGATTTTGTTTGATACAAAAAGTTTTTGGACCCTTGTTTATTATTTTATGTATTGTCACTTCCTTTTTCCCTTGGCACACTTGCACACTATATGCATGCAGTTTTTTTTGGTAAGCACTTGAACTCTTTCTTTTCTATGAATTGTCTTATCATTTGAAAACTGGCAATATTTTATTGAAGACAAGCTTTGCTTGCATTTTGTTTTTTTTTTTTCTAAGAGAAAGCTTCTTGTAATGAGGTTTTGTGTTTTTGACAGAGTTTTTATATCCGTCACATATTGCAACAGAAGGTAATTAAATCAATTCCAGGGGCTTGCTGAATTTGTATATCTGCTTTTGCATATCAGGAAATCTTAAGCCTCATTTTGACTTGTTCATATTCTATGTATCTATTCTCATAGACACAAGAGGAGCAATTTTCTACTTTTGGTGTAAACTTGTTTTTTAATTTATTTGTGGTATATACTGTTATAAGCACTTTACTTTTAATATGAGAGAGGTCATATCTAGATTGTGTATGTTAACACTTTGGTGAGAGGGAACTTTATTATATGTATGTATAAAATGAATTGATACACAATATACTTTTTCAGGCAATTGTTATAGAAAATTAGTATACTTTTTAAAAATATCTAATGTATTTTGATAACTTTATATAATAGGATTTTGATAGGGATATTTTCCTTTTTTAGTTGCACTATAGTTGAATTCAGACATATAACCAGTTACTTTTTTTGTATGAAGATTTCCAAACAGAAGTTTGAGGACAATTTTTGAAATAGCATAGTGTGTAATTTATGTACTTCACAGAATTAGGATGTCCTAGTTTTCCACTTATAGATTTAATAGTAGAACAAAATTAGATAGAGTTTGCCCTTTGTAAGTTACACAAAAGAATGTTTTTTTCCAGTTTCTTTTTTTTCTTTTGATGTGTTTTTATAACTGTAGCAAAATAAGGAAGTAATATAACCTAGACTTATATTATCTGGAAAATCTCTGATCAATAGCGGTTTGAGGTTTTCTATTAATCTTCTGAATTTCCTGATGAATATTTTTTTTCTGTCTGCTTTTAAATCCACATCAAGCCATTTAATTAATCCAGAGCAGACAATTTACAGACAAATAGCCTGTACATTGTATTAGATTTGGAATTGCGGAGTACATGTAGATGTATCTAATGATGATGAATGAAGGGGGGTTATACATCACAAAAAGATTAATCTTAAGACAATTTTCAGCTTACCAATGAAAATGCATGATGAGAATGATATAGAACTGAAAGTAATCTTGTAATTTTAATAGATTTTATTAAATTAGAAATGTGCAATAATGCATTTGCATGTAGCATTTTCTCTTGATGATAATAGTCACAATGTGAATTTTTTTAAAGTGATGGGTATAATTTAATATTGTTCAATCACATGATATTCCGTACCAGTACACCTGACCTTGTGTAACAATCTGATGTTTATTTCTATTCAAGATGAGAATAAACCAGTCACGCCCAACACAAAGGGGACGGGAACCAGTAATAATAGACTGGTCAAATCTAAATCCATCAATTGTATTTCTCAAATTCCAAGGCGAGGTAAAAATAATAAGCATGTGCATCCCCATAACACGTCTGAAACATTGACAAAAACCTAGCAGATGCCTCCCCTTTTACCAAATTGTGCATTACAAGTAATATTTGTGATTATTTTTTGTAGATTCTGAAGATCTAGGTTAATAGAGCATGCTTTTTTCATGATAAAAAATGAGAGCATGCAATTTATTTCTCTCTAATGCTTTTGCTTATAGATTCTATTTTTTTTCTATAACAGTTAGGAGAAAATATAGGATTTTTCTTAGACATGTTAGAAATTTAATAATGAAATACATTAGGAAACCATGAAGCACAATGTGAAACACTGATGTCCCTGTATAGCATTCAAATCGCTAAGGTTATAATTTTTCAAAAGTAGATCAAACTCTAAGGTCAAGGTCTTAAGGGACTAATATTTAAGTATCCAAAGAAAAGTCTTGTCATAAGAAATTTACTTATGAAATAAGGAAACCATTGTATCATGCAGCTGTCAAGTGTTTAGAAGTTATGTCACCAAAGGTCATTTTAAAAAAATAGGTCAAACTCAAATGTCAAGGCCAAGAGATCAAAAATGCTGATTTTATCATACAGAATACAAATTGTGGACAAAGAGTAAAATAGACAGACCAAAAATTATATACTCCTGAGTCTTTCCTATTGGGGTAAAAAAATACCCAATACAAAATGTATGACTTTTAGAATTGTATGCACATAGTCATTAGTAATTTTTAATTTTTGTTTATATCATAGCTTAAGTTTAATTTCCTCCTTTACTTTAACTTTTGATATATAGCTTGCTGACCAACTCAACAGAAAGAACAGGGTGTTTTATGACCTAAATCTTTATTTTGTATCTTAATGCATTTAAGATTTCTGATTGACATTCATTTTCTACCTTAATTTTAAAAGTATTTATGTACTTTTTTCTTGCAGCATGTCAAATGCAAAATGTCTTATCAGGTTTAATTTTATGATTTGGAGGTTTTTCTATAATTTTAATGCTGTCATAAATACAGATACTGCAATATTTTTTGTTGAAATATATTTATATTAATTTCTTATAGTTTAGCTAGTTTTTAAGATGTTGGGGATTTTTTGAATTATGTATTTACAGTTATAAAAAGAAATGTATTTAAGACCTATTCATATGACAAGATGTAAATTTCACTAAGACCAATTATAATATATGGAAGCCATGATGTTTTTGAAGACTTTTAATGCATGAGATGAGTTAATGGTCTAGGCCATCCTAAATAATTGGGTGTTGTGCTGTTTCTATACATAAATCTCTATATACATATCTTTCTTACCTTTCAATTTGGTCTACAGATAGCAAGGAGTTGTCCAAGACTAAGATCGTATCATCATCCCCCTCCCCCGGGAAGACGCCAGGTCAGTATGTCTGTCAGTGTCGTTTCGTGGCTGTCGTAGCATTTCATTGACTGTCCCGTCTACGTTTTCCATTTATAATATTACAGACCCCATTTCTGTTGACTTTCATCTTGTTTTCATCTGTGTCTGTCAATTTATCCCAAGGATAATTTCTGTCCATTCATATGGATTTACTAATGCCCCAGTGTTTTATATTGGAAACTCCTTTGTATGGATTACTAATGCCGAATTGTTTTATATTGGAAACTCCTTTGTATGTAATGTGATTTGTCTCATACTGGAGCAGTTTACCAGAAAAAAAATGTCCTGCCTTGTTTTAAAATCCACTTATCTTTCTAATTCCCTTCTCATTATCTATACAATATCCCACATGTTCAACCAGAAGATATTTTTTTCAGCATTTTATTCCACTTTTATAAATTCTCATCCCATTCCCATTTGAAGGCAATAAAGCTCAGGTGAACAGTAACACATCCAAACTGCCATCAAGAGACTCGAACGTAAACAAAAAGGGAGTCTCGTCTCCTAAACTCTCCCGACTGCCTCTGTACAACTCCAACCCAAATCTCCACCAGGGACGGCCATCTTCTCCCTCCCTCATCCCCATCAAAGGTGAGGTCAGGAGATCAAGCATTAAGTGAAGCATTGTACAGCGTTGTGCAGCATGAATTTTTGTGTTTTTGAAGGCTAGAGGTATTTGTTTTGGTGAAGGGGCATTGTGTCATATATTGTGGGCATGTTCTATTAATTTGGTCTTCTTCTTTTTCATTTCTTCTCAGATATTTCATTGAAACATGATCTTTGTATAGTTGTATTGTCTTTGTTAAATGTTGATGGTGGCTGAATGGGTTGTGTTGCAGAGCTTGGTGTAACTGTATGCATTGTGGTGCCAGTATTAACAAACAGTGTTTAACAGCTAGGTGTTTTAATAATTCTGTATTGAAGCATTGATATTTTGATTCTTTTGCTTAGAGCATGTATCTGACCTGATTTTCCAGGAGAATGAATTCCGAAGAGGACAGACTTTGCTGCTTATCTTTAAACGTTGAATTAATCATTCTAGTTTTCTACTGTCTTGATTCATTCTGTTGCATCAGTCTGAAAACTTGCATTGTTGAATTCTTGTTTTTTGCCCCCCTCTCTAGAATCATATTTTTAGCTGGGCTAAATGAGCATGTTCTATAGAGCCAGCAGACATTTAGACTAATTCTAAACAGACTGCTGAATGTGTTGAAGAGATTAAACTCGGATTATGGTCATCCTTCCTAAATTATGTTTCTCTCTTTTTTCAACATATTTTTTTTTTTACTATTTTAACATATCTTACATACATGTATACATCTATGTTGTATTTTGATGCCTGCATACTAGTAACTTTGTGTGATTTAAATGGAAGTGGGGGTTTTATTTGTTGTTGAAATATGCAGATTTTTTTGCTGTTCTTTATTTTATGCATAAAATTTACTTTTCAGAAAGAAGGTAAAAAAATGTTTTTCCTAACATTTCAGAGTACTGTACAATTTTTTGGATTCTTCTGTTTCTTTATTGTGTTTGCCAGGAAAGAAAACAATATCTGTAAACTTAAAGGTTCATAAGCCCTCTGCTCACTCATATAAAATGTTGCTTGAACCTTAATGATTTTTCAAAAGAAATGTATTTTATAAGTAAAATTCAAACAGTGAAAGCATAGCTTGTTGGGCAAAAAAAAAAAGACATTTCAACTTGGTGAATTTATAAAGGAATAAAAGACATTTATGTCATTTAGAGTTATCTTTCTTATCAGTGTATCAATGAACCTTAACTTGAATTCACTTTATTTTTGTTTTTTAGCCTCCACCACTAGTACCACCAACAAGACGAGTAAGACTCGTGGGAGTGGGATCCCCGCCCCTGGGAGCGCGGGATTAAGGTGAGTTTCTAGAGATCTTCTGTCGTAATTGTGCGCTGTGTCCTCTAAACTTTTGTGTTGTTTTTTGGCTAAACAGCACAAGGAAAGTATTAAAGTCTTCTGACTCTATTCTATGGCCTTAAAAGGAGAGATTTGATTTATTCTCTCGCCTCGTAATTTTTTTTCGTAAATCCTTTTTTTAAATTTTAACAGGTCATATATCTGGATATTTCATTTTTTTATTTTAAATTTCAATCTTCCTCATACTTTTTAATATTTAACAAGAGCTGTTTCTTTATCTCTGAAATCTAATTTTCAAATATCTAATAGTATATAAAATTATTAAACATTCAAAATGGAGCATTTAGGACACCTGGATATTACATATACCTCCCTATGAAGTCTCCCATAGATGGAAATGCTAGCTCTTTTATGAGACTTAAAACTATAGTTTTTTGTACTTTATCTATAGTAATTATTGTAAATTAAAGCTAGAGATTATATTATGATCAATTTGAAATTGAAAAGAGCTGCTATACAAATATAAAGTTAGGCTACAGTATCACTGAGTTAAAAAAAAAATCAAGAAATAATCTTTAAACATAACTATGACTATTGCTTTCAAGATGGACTATGTTGAAATTAAAAGACTGATTTGAGCCAAGAAATTTTGTAATCATGCAGTGCAAGAATTCATAAATATATAGACTTGTATCTATAAGAATTGCAGTGCATTAACAAGCATGGGGCTTGAAAGTGAAAATTAATGCAAGCCTAAAATTCATCCTACATGTAATATTTATTCATTGCCCTGATATAAAGAACGTTAAATTATTTAATGAAGGAAAATAGAAAACAGGATGTAAAATGTTGGGAGGGGGGGGGGGGGGGTAGAAGCCTAATTTTATAAGAAAGCTCCTGCACCTGTACTGCCAGTGCGTGTGTGTGTCTGATGTTTTAGTAGCTCCACAATTTGTGTGTTTGTTGGTGTTTCAGACGAGCCTCTGTGCCCACTATCTCTACCCACAGAAGAGGATCTATAGGGGGTCAGCTTAGCACCGGTAGTTACAAACGCTTTCAATCTGTTGGCTTGGCTAGCTTGTAGCGCAGCTGACTTTTTCAGCTTTTTATTTTTCTTTTTTGCAGTTTTCCGCAGGACCTAAAGCCATTTTTTTATTTTTAGAAAATTGAGTTTCAATTGGTTAATAGTTCGAGTTTATCATACTATATTGCATTCATCTTGCAAAATTTCATTGTATTCACCAATTGCTCATTTATAGCATCTGCTCATATAAGATATATAAATTATATAAAATTATGCAATAATTGTATAGAAAACATATTTTTATATAGTTATGTGTATATATTTATATATTGTTTAAAGCTAGATTTATGTGTATAAAGCACTTACATAGTTTGTAATTGAAACTCACTTTTAAGTGTGAATATTTTAAAAAATTAAGAGTGATTTTAACATACTGTATGGTACATATGCCCTCGCACCAGAAGCACTGGCACCTTATAACATCTCTCTTCCTCATAACTTGAAATGAATATAATGAACACAATTTATATCACAAGTAACTTCACATGAGCATTAAATTGCTGTATTGGTGGATAAAATAAAAATTTTCCCCTGTTTAGATAGAATGCACTTTGTTGGTTTCAGAGGATATTTATTGCCATATATGAGTTTATTGAAAATTATGTCGAAATGGTGTTTACACCTTGATATAAATGCTCAAATTGTTTAATTTACATTTTATGTCAATGCAGTAGTTAAAATTTTACTTCCTGCATATCATACACATATTTCATTATGGATCAGCTCATTTGCATAATATGCCACTTTAGACCATAGAAGTGTGCAATAAACTTGTAATTAATTAATTAATCAAATTGTCTTGACTAACGTAAAACAACTTCTGGTATTTTGTTTTTGACTTGCTTGGGCATCAAAATTTTGAAGCTTATTTATGCAGGATCTGTATTACTAAGGTTAAATTTTTTAAAACATTATCAGAAAATAATGGATGAATTGCTCCTAAGTCTGATTTGATTCAAATTAAATCAATTTCAATTTAAATTGATGATGATTTCTACTAAAAAAGCTTGTTTTTTAATTAAGGTTTGATTTGATTTTTGATGTTGAAGTTTGGATTTTTTTTTTGACATAATGATTAAACTTATTAACTTGTCCTTCCTTCCATTGCACTGCCCTGGTCATTTGCCCCAGTTGATACTTAACATAACGAGAGTTTTAATTAGAATCCCGTTGTTTTAATTTGGTTTATTTACTGACACCATTATCATAGTCCTGCTCCCCACAGATAGAATTCAAAACATTGTATTAAATGATTAATGATTCTGTCCTCAGCATAAATCACGTTCAAAGGTTACGGCATTACATGTGTTAATCATAATTTTTTTTAGCTGTTTTTTATTTAATATTTACACAATAGTGAAATCAGAAGGGGATTCCCCTCTCATTAATATTAAAACAAGATGAGTGTTTCAGCTTTGAAAAAAAAAATAATACCACATAATTTGATTCATATTGATATGCAGATTTTATGGCACAAGTTGTTGTTTTGAGAAGAGTAATTGATTGCAAATGTAATTTAATGTACGTATTGATGTTATTTGACGTTTTGATTTATGGGATGTTCCTGATTTTTTTTTTTTGACAGAGGTGACTCCAAAAGCAAAAGGCAGTAATGGTGCATTGACTCCGTCCATTAAGTAGGTGTCAGGTTTCTTCAGAACTCTTAATTATTTGCATTTATAAAGTTGTTTTTTCCCTTTCGGTTATGATGAATTTAAAAAAAAAATCACATACTTTGAAGAACGAAAATATTGGGCATTATTTATATACACTACAGATCAACTTGATTAATCTCAAACTTATATGACAGGACTTTTGACTAAACTTTGAGATACGGATTTGTTTAGGATATTGCAGTTGATCCAAACTCAAAGAAAAATTAAGTCTTGTACTTTGACTCATATTTGACATATTCCACTAAAGTTTATTTAATTAGTGATATTGTAATCCTTGGCTATATATTTATCATATTGACCTAAAAAAAAAATAAAAGCAATAAGGCCATAATAAATAAATTGCTAGATTCTCATCCGAATTTTTTTTAAAATCGGGGCGGGCGGGCGGCTTTTATTTTATATTTTTTATTTTTTTCAATTTTGCAGATTTCTTATTGACCTAGTCAATCGGTGTAATTTTATCTACAATACCAGAATAAAAGTCATAGTAAAGGTTCCATTATCTCTTACTTCACATCATCACCAATCTTTTAAACCAATGACCCTTATTTAAAATATATACGCGTGTATTACAGCAATTACCATCTTTTCAGCTGTCAAAATCATGTTGACATTCGCGGGATAAAACGAAAGTATGATAGATGAATACCGATCCCGATCAGAATTAAGACAAAGAAAAACATAAATTAAAAAAAATCGAGGCGGGGGTTTAAAATCGGGGCGGGCGGGGATGAGAATCTAGGAATATTTTTATTATGGCCTAATTGTTTAATATTGATTATAAAAATCATGTTCAAGCTGTATTTAGAATATTCAAACTAATTTTTTTATTTTACAGAGAGAGGAAAAAATCACGATAATCTGGTGCAGTATGGGAGCATCTGCATCAAGATGAATCATGGGAAACGTATTGTTTCCATAGTGACTGTGATAGAACCAATCAGATTTCACCTGACATTTGTGTATTATATTGATCCTGTTAAGTTTATTGCCTATACTGCTGAAAAACACTGTCAGGTTTTGTTTTGATAAAAAGGAGAAAGTTAGAATAAAGACAGCTTCTAAATCGAGACATCAGCCATTGAAATCATTACTGTTAGCTGATGATGGTGGCAAATCATTATGATGGACAAGCACCACTTGAAAAGTGCCTGGCGGTATAAGTACACGTATATGTCATCCAAGATGTGCAAGACTGGAAAACATTCCATTCTTTTTTTTTTTGTTATTTTCATAATTTATAGTCATATTAGCAAAAAATGATCACAAGTATAAATCAAAATCCTGTGATGTATTCATGTTGATTTTGTACTGAAAAACTGTTGCAGGATTTTTTTTGAAGACACTAGGGCTGTATCAGTTGAAATAAATGGAACATAGATGAACTTTGAAATGGCTGATATTCAGGTACAAAACTGAGTCATTCCAGTAATTTAAAGCTAATTAAAATTGACAAAAGTGCCTAGATTGTTGAAAATTTTAGTAAATTTCAGTGAAGATATAATATTGCAATCATATAAAATTACTATGTAGGTTATTTGTCTCCATGTATGTTGCTACATGTATCAGCAGGTTTTCTGGGTGCAATCATTAGATGAAAGTTATAAATCCAGAAATACATGTATAAAGAATTAATTAATTTATATGTAATATAATTAATGTAAAGTAAATGGCAGAGATAGTTACAAAAACCATATTGTTTTGTTACATGAAAATGAAGTTTAAATTTATTTTTTAGTAGAGCTAGATTGTAAAAATGCATTAAAAAAAATTAATTCTCCAAATTTTCATTCCATTATTCTGAAGATTTTTCTGTACCACAATTTGATTGTTTTAAACAGTGTTGAGAGGTGAATGTTTAGTAATGTTGATGTATTAGTGTTATTGTTGAATGAAAAATTTTGTGCAATTGGAAATGAAGCAGACATAATTCCATGTGTATGTGTGTGTTTTACACAGTATTTTTTTTTCTAGTGTTACATGTTGAAAGACTGTGTTATATAATGAAAGGGAGTTTATTTTTGTTGATTAAGAAACCTAGATGTGCCTGTTGTGTATGAAATTTTAAATATTTTTACTCTTTAAAGTTGAGATCATTTTTAATTCTTTAAAAGAAAGTTATGATATGGTACAATAGCTCACTTTAGAAGCCCATATATTAATTTATACCCTGGCACCCACATTTAATTTTAGTACTATAGATACTCTCTTCTTTTGCTAACACTACAGTATTTTGAAAATAAAAATTGCACTATGGACAGCTAGTAGAAAAAAGGTCTTGTTATACATTTTTATACATGTAACAATTCACTGTTAAACAATTTAATCTATATATATTTATAGCTAATGCATACCTCGGACATTCTTTCATATGAACAAGGTCTGTGTTTATGCAGTGCTTTAGTTACATCTGATGCAATAAAAACCTGAAGAGATTGTTCCAAGTTTTAATTAGTACCAATCATGTTACAATGTTTTATCAAAAGCACTGATAGTTCAAAGGTCAACAGGAAGTAAAAGTTACAAAGAATCATTGAATTGCCTCCCTTTAGCAAAAATAAAATGTTTTGACTTTTTAAGGGAAAGTATGTAAAAGTGGTAGACAAGCAGACTATCTGATGTCAAATTTTCCTTGTTAATTGGGTTTGTTGATTTTTATTTTTGAAATTATGCTAGTAATAAATTTTGAATTCAGGATTTTCCTTCAATAGTCTTGCCGTACATAAAATAATTTTAAAGAATTAAGTTACATGATTGTATAATCCTTTGGGTCATGGCAAGGTCTTTTTTTACTTTTGATAAAATTATAATTTTGAAGAAAAATAATGCAAAATAATTTTACTGTTTCTTTCCTTGACAACATGTGATAAACAGACCATGACACATTTTCATCAAAGTTGTATTTCCTGTTTTTGACGTTGATAATTTGCAATTGACTAAAACCTTGTTGTAGTCAATGTCTGTGTAGAACTGCTGGTATTGTACAAATTAAATCACTTATAGAACTGTTTCTTTACTGTTGTAAAATGTACTTGCAGTTAAACTAGTTCAAAATATTAATATTTTGAAATTAAGAAATGAACCACTAGAATTTCCTCTGTATTACTTATCTGGTTAAATTTTGATAGAGCTGGTAGAATTTATACACCAGATTCAGCTGTGATTTCTGTTGCATTATTTGTGGAGAAGACATAGGTGCTTCAGACCTTGTGGTTATACTGATATCATCACATTACAATGCAATATTATTAAATGACTCAACTGATCGACTTTTGTTTTCATTTTCTGTGTCCAGGAATGAAGTTTGCCAAAAAGTTAGCTTATTTAAAATAAAATGATTAGAAGAAAAATCCATGAAATAATGCACTGGATCTTTGGAAGATTGTTGTGCACTTCAATATGCAAAAAAATTGACATTTTGTACTTTGTGTCAAATGTAGCATATGACATTATAATCCTTAATTAAATTTAAATTTTCAGGCTGTTTGACTTTGAAAGTGATTGTTATCTTTTGTAATAGTTCCCACCTGAAATGAACACTTTTATATGCATGTGAATTATTTGTAATTCACAAAATTTGGTAAATTGGCTGTAAAATCTTTCCATATGACTATAAAGTTCGGGATCTGTTCATGCAGGTGGTAATTAGGTGTGTAACTCCTTGTGAGTCCACGCTGGGGATCCTTGTGATCATATTCAGCTCTTGTTTCCTAATTAAACATTGATCAGGTTAAAGCAGAAGTAATTAAGACTTGTTCTGATGAACATCTCCACATCAATCGTGTTCTGCAAAGACTACACCCAACACCTGTGTCAAGCAACCACTTCTGAAAGATAAAATATAGACACTTGTACCAACATTACAAAAAAGACCTTTTCAGCAGTCAGTATACATTATAAAGCATTGAAAATTGTTTATATAAATCCAATCAGGACTGATTTTTAATTAAAAAGGCAAGGGTTAATGAAATCAGCGGCAATGACTTGTAATATTCCAAATGCTCAATATCTTTTTTATTGGACAATAAACTGTCATCTTTGACAAATGTACATAGATAATTGATGGTTTGGAATGTCTCCGCACAAGTTCAAGAACGCGGCATCTTTAAATAATTTATTCTGGTGATGTTTGTTCCAAACACGAAGACACACGGTCTGGTTGCTATAAGTAACGGGAGACTGGAAGGTCACGTGACCGTACCATTTTATGACAACACCAGCTGGGGATATCGGTGTTTGTTAATTACAAGGAAATTGTAATTATTGACAGAAAAGTGCATAAACCTTGTTAGAAGAATTTAGACAACAAAAATAACATTTACATACCATTCGAATTAGCAAATTTCCGGTGCGTTGTCAGGTTTTCCGTCAGTTAGTGACTATAATTTTGATAACTGGAATTTTACAAAAAAGAGAAATCAATGGAAATTTCAATATAAAGACAAACTGTAGGATTTGTGAATTAAAAGTTTAATATATACATGATATATTCCTAATTATAATTTTATTATTTATGTACAGGGATAGATCGAGACTCATTGTTTCCCACTTACATTTAGAAAATAAGGAAAATCCATATTACCATATTAAAAAATGCTCTTCACTGATCAGAATAGCCTTGGGATGCAAAGTCCAGTATACCTTGTAGATAATTAAAGATTCAGTTTGTATAGAAATATTCCATTCAGTGCAGCTGGTATGAAGACTTAAAAACTCTCCATCACAAAAGAAATGTGAAATTTCGACCACATATTTCAATAAATACTCAACCATATATTGAGGAAATCTATTTTTTGTATATTTGTTTGTCCTTCGAGAATTTTGCACCCATACTGAGACACCCACCACTCGCCGGTGGAGAGCTTTACTCAATGCATTTTTGACCTTTGGGCAGTAAGAGACCTTTGTATTGTGTGTACCAGAAGCTACTGCGATAATGGACATTGGTTTGTACGATCTCATCCGATGGACCGGTCTCGACATCCCGCAATGGAATTGAAACCTATGACCCAAATGCTGGTAACATCATAATCAATCAAGTATTTTACTTGTTAATGTAATATTCCCTTAAATTTTTGTTGGATAACTAATCAGCTGCTTGTTATTTTTTTCCCCCTAAAACTAAACTTTTGCTGTAAATTTTTACTCATTTGACAAACAAGAGAAATCGTTTCTTTTCGATATTTCTTATACCCAAACTAGTCATTCTATTTAAAAAAACACTTATGTAACATGACTTTTATTTCCTTTTTCCATCAAACAAAATGATATTCAATTTGGAACACCTCCCTTGACACATTTAGCATTTATTTTTGTTATTAAAGGAACAATAAGCAATGCACGTTAAAATTTCTTTCAAGTAGTTCAATGGGGTCAGAATTTCCATAGACGAAAATAGCAGTGCCTTAGCTTTGTACAGAAGAGTGCATTAGCTCCTGTCTCACTTTAAAAGACTGAAACGTTATAAATCTTTATTGAGACATAAATATGATAGGCAGACCTGAATCAAAAGGTTGATGTAATTATAGAAGACATAAAATTAAAAGTATCTTTGGGAGCATTGCCAAAATAATAAACTTCTGCACTTTCCATATCAAACGGAAACCAATCGAGCTTTTTATTCGTTATATTATCTCAAAGCTTAGCCTTTGTCATGGTAAGAAAAAAGAATATGTAAACACCACTCTAACTGCATGTAATTCTCAAATACCTAGGAATGGATTACAATAGATTTTACATTGTAAAAAATTAGAAGTATAATAAGGATTCCTCCTATTTGTTTTTACATATAATTAATATTACCAAGGATTTCCCTGTTACATTTATTACAATTAATCAAAGGGAAAAAGATCGATCGTGTCTGTACAGAAATAAAGAGCCAGACATGCTACCAACCTAAACTGGCCCTGTTCCTAACAGGATTTGTACTCTGTCTTCTTTTATTGCTGTTCATTTCCTTCCTGTTTTGCAATTATTTCGCCTAGAGACAACCATTTCACACCATGCCGTAGAAAATACATCTTTAGAGGACAAATCCCACCTCTGGTGTGGTCAGGGGTCCAATCTTTTGCCCTCTTCACGATTCCTACTGATTGTTAACTTACTCAGCATAAGAGAATGAACGTCACTTTTGTTCATTAAAGGGGCATGGACACAGTTTCAACTGAATTTTTAAAACCAATTTCAATGTTTACAATTCTTACCTAAGGCATCATCTATTGATTAGCAAAAAATTGAACATCATTTGTTGATTTCAATTTTTTGCTTATTAATAGATTAACAAAACAAGATACAGAACTTAAAAGTTCTCCATAATGTAAACAAGGCTCGTGCCTTGTTTTAATTTACATATAGAAAATATCATATTTATAAGAATATGAAATTCAGCAAATCAACAGTAACTGTCGAATCATATTTAAAATTAACTTTAATTTGAAATTATCTACTTTGAACGAATACATATTAGTATATTAACCTGCATAAACAAAAACATAACACAGACCTTGTTTACATAACAAAGGTTTGCAGCTCTAAATCTGCCTTGTATCTCGACAATTGACGTTGCAATTTTTGATGATCATTAGAAAGACCCTAGTTTAATATTTGTAAAAATGGAAAAATAAATTTTAGCTGAAACTGTGTCCATGCCCCTTTAAATACTTACAAATTCTTATTTTTGTACAAAAAATGTTGAGAGAGAGAGAGAGAGAGAGAGAGAGAGAGAGAGAGAGAGAGAGAGAGAGAGGGAGAGAGAGAGAGATTTGCAGTCTTTATAAAAGAAGAAAAAACATATATCTAATTGCACGTGAAACGGCAAAGTACAGGTGGGTATTATTAAGAAGATAAAAATCATGTTCAGAATCAAACATCATGCAGTTACAGGCAATAGAGAAATATTCACATTGTTAAATGCTTCGTTTACTGTTAAATGCTTCGCTTAAATCACAAAATACTAGCATACAATTTTCAACAAAAGTGCACACTTAAAGTTCATACACTACAGTTCTTTAGAATCCTTTTTTTTTTAAATAAATAGAAATAAATCAATTTTGTTTTAAAAAGAACAGTATTAAGCTTTCTTTGTGGTGTAAAACATAATCTTGGTTTAACATGTCTCAAAGGTCATATTATTACCTTATTTACTAGTATTGAAATACATTATCACTTCACAAATATCATTAACAAATAATTAACAAAAACATAATGATTTATTTACAGTTTTATATACTCTCAGTATATTGGGTTGTCATAAGAACCAAAATCTTTATAATCGATGAACTATGACACATTAAAACACTACATTGAAAATAAAACTTTGAAAATGAATTCTGTACAATGGATAGTATTTCTAAAAAAAATCACGTTTTTAAAATCCAGTCACCTAACAATTCAACGGAAGGGAGGAGGGAAGTTTCTTTCTTTCTCATTCGGGTGAAAGAAAAGTTTTTAATTACTCCAGATCACTGTAACAAATCATTTTTTTAAAAATTATACCGGTATATTGTTTCAGTAATGGCCCCCATCCCTGTATATAAGTTCCATGACTTCCTGTACACAGGAAAAATGTCCACATGTGTTAAACATATGTTAAACATGCGTTTAACATATATTTTTTACACATGTAAAACACATAAAAGGAGCACACATGTATAGGGTGTTTATTTTTACACACATTAAACATATGTTTCACATGTGTTTAACATGTGTAAAAATAAACACACTGTATATTTATACATATGAAACATGTGTTAAACATGTGTTTTATATATGTTATATTTTATATGTGAATTATACGTGTATAATATTACTGTTGTACTTATTATCATTTTTATGCTTTTTTCATGTCTGTCCACATATGTGAATCATATGAAAAGGGCAGCATATATGTAAGTCATATGAAATAGTTACATGTGTTCTCTTTCAATATTTATCACAAGGAAAAACACATTCTTGTACACATTTAAAAATCAGATATTTCTGCTTTAGATGAAAATCCATTACATTCCAATGATCTATCTTCATGGGTTAAATATTTGAAAATTAATATCTTAAAATGCTTACACAACTTTTTTGATAAATTATTTTCATCAAGAGAAATAACTTATTTTTCAGTGTACCTTCTAAACAGGAAAGTATACAAACAAGTCATTAGCATTTGTCGATACATATATTTTACATATTCTAAGTTGAGTACAATTATAAGATTTCCACAGAATGATTAAATAGTTAATCATGCATACATGTAAAAATGAATAACATAATTAATCCGTCCTTTTTTATAATTTATATGATTTGACATGAAAGTGTCCAAAGCAAAATTGAAATATGAGATATAACATTTGTCATGTATTCTCTATTGTAAATTTATGAAAAATCAAGTCATTTGATATCACAGCATACAAATATGAATGGGAATTAATTAAATCTTTACAGGTCAAATGCAGACAAGATTGTGTACATCCTCCCAATTTCATAAATATTTTATATATTTTCTTGTTCTTTTTCCTTCTGTATCTTTCAGTTTTCTTCAGTTGTCCTCCCTCTGATATTCCATGAGCTTGACCATTTTGAACTCTCTTTGAACTGTACCCAAAATGCAAATCCACCATTTCTCCCTTTCCTGAACAATTTCTTTGTGGCACAGAATGGTCTCTACAAAAATTTCAAAAGTAAAAATAAAACAATTCTTAAATTACAAAATCAATTCTACAAGTAATATTAAAGTTCAGCAAACAAATGTATGCCCAATTCACCAACAGAGATATGATAAGAGATAAATATGCTATACTTGGTGTTTTGTGGAATCCTATGATGTAATTTGCAAGACAATTACACTGTTGGAAGATATGCTTCAGAATAAAGTCATAAAAAGCATTTTTTTTTTGATTTTGACAATTAAATTTGGAATGTTCAAACAGTATTACTAATTCATATTGCCAAAAATTAAGAAGATTCTGACACAAATATTTTATTTTTGGACAAAAAATACTACAGAGAAGTAGACAGGCAGAAAAACAGACAGTGTGATTCCAGGATATCCCAAACGTTGTTGGGAAGAATATAACAAAGTTTATTTAACAGTGTGTAGTTACCTTAATTAAGCTTTTAAGCAAGTCTTGGATCTTGGGATTTATTCTTATGAGAGGCTGACTGTATATTGAACCTGTAAAACAAATATTCATGCAGTAGATATCTACTAAGCATAACTAAAACTTAATTGAACTACAAAACTACAACTACAAAAAAAGAGAGTACATGTTTGTAGGTTCTTAATAGTCTTAATTAATATTTTACATTTTACCAGAAACTATGTTCTCTAGTGTTGGAGAAAAATAATAAATGTCAGGTAATGAATACCGGTACATAATAGATGTAAATATCCAATGGATTAGCTAGCTGATGTACTTTCAACAATCAACACATATGCACATGTACTTGTATATATACCTTGAAAGTTGGGTGTCACTGTTATTATTAATTTTTAACTGAAATTCAAAAATTCAATACCCCCCTCCCCCCTTGAAGTCATTTACAGTACATGTACCAGTTTCATAGCTTTTAAAGCCAGCAAATTCTATTCATACTTTCCATATTTTAAAAGTTCACTGGATAAAAACTGCATGTTTTATAATATAGAATAAAATTATTGTAGTATATTGAGTTGGACTTATTATTTATGAATTCGTGCAAATAACAAATGTAGAATTATAAAGGAACAAAAAGAAATTACAATGTATCAAGAAATATTTTGTCATGAAGGAGTCATTACAGATGTTTACTAGTATTTATTTTTACCTTTAATATTGTGGAGATGCAATCTTCTGTCAAATCAGCTTTAGGATCAATCGCCAGTCTTATCAGCTTTGGGCTTTTTAGACGCAGCAATGTGACACTGAACTCAAGTTACTGCATGCATCTATAGGCCATAAAAACAAACACTTGTTATTAAGTTGATGAAAGAATCGACTTGACAGCCATCTCAACATACATAAACACCAACTGACAGTCACAATGGTTTTAAGGTTTCTACTTTCACTTTCATATCAGTACGTAACAAAAGGAAAAGGAAAAATAGCCTAACATGTAATGTTTACGTTCATTCAGAAACAGATTTATCCAGAATTACTTACCTGTATACAAATTATAAAAAATAGTAATGCCTTTAGCCTAACATGTAACCGCTTACATTCACGGGCACTGGAAGTTAATATAAATAATATATGTGTATGTATAAAAAAAGAAGGGTCTTTTTTATACATATATATACTATATATTTACATTAACTTCCAGTGCCCGTGCTTACATTCAGTCAGAAACATTTTTCACCAAAATTACTTAGGCCTACAGATCACTATCGTTAGGTTTACGAAATGCATGACAAGTCACAATGCATGATAAGAGTATTACATGTATAAAGAAAGTTTTTACGCACCTGTAACTATAATGAAATGATATTTAAACAATATGAATTAAAAGTCTTTTAAAAATTGTTTGGAGATCACTTACCTTTCCAATCAGCACGTCTGCTTCATCAGTGACGTCAAAATTGACGTACATTTTCATCCGATAAAAGACAAAACCGGCCCGGAGACAAATACGGAATTATTTTAATTTTACTCAAGAAGTAGCCAAGCCCAAAAGATTTAAAATGAAAAGAAAATGAATTCATTCTTTATTAATTTTGTCTGATAAATGCATTATTACAGAAAAAAATTGTGAAAGTTTTTTTTAGAAGGGAAAGGGGGGGGGGATAAACAAAGTAAAACTTTACATGAATAAAATTTTACTAACATAAATTTACGAATTCTTTTGAATTAATGTACACTCACATATGAGATAAAACTTAACATGTGTATAACATGTGTTTATGAATACACATATATTTTATATAAATTAAACATGTATAATTCATCTGTATTTTCGCACACATATATTACATATATATAATACGTGTTATACATGTGTGGTGAAAAACATGTGTTTAACATATATATTATCTCACAGGTGTATAACATGTGTATATTATATGTGTTTTACATATAAATGAAACACATATTTTACATGTGTTTCTTTACACACATGTATTACATGTATAAAACATGTGTTGAACACATGTGAAACCAAACATATGTTTAACACATGTGGACATTTTTCCTGTGTATTCTCATGACTGTAGCGGTTCGAATGAAATGAAATTCATTTTGTTTGAGAGATTGTTGGTAGGAGTACAGAGCAGCTTGATGGTTCCCCGTAACTTGTTGACAGATTCCTAGAATCTGCCAGGATATGTCTCTGAGGGCTACATGTACGTACGTCCCCTCATCGTGGTGAACCAGGTCCTGTAGGTCGTAAAGAGCTCTTTGTGCTCTCACTGGGTCTACATGTCTGTAACACAAGACCTCTAACATGTGTAATAGAACATAGAGTGGGATATGTAATACAGGGAATACACACTGTAATCCAGCCTGTTGTTCTGACACTAATTCATTTATGTAACAGATTTCATTTTCAAGAATCAAATTCCATGCAACAGCGTGTCTCATTTTTGCAGACAAGGATTGGCCCCTTATGGATTCACTAAAGATGTACCTTTCTGCATTTACAGCTCCATGTGAGATATACATTACGTATGGCTGTGCTAACTTGCCCTTTGTCATTTCTATAACTGATATAGCTTCCTTGTATTTAAGTGTCTTGTAGTAAAACATTGCGATGTATAACATGTCAGAAATACACCCAAACTTGGATGCTAATTTCAGCATATAACTGGATACAGTGTTAGCCATATATACCTTCTTGTTTACAACTGAGGTAGCATTTTTCTGGAGTGGTGCAAAAATGGTTGAAAAGTTGTATAACATAAAAGCAGTGTTCTGGAGTATGGAGGCTGTAAACTTCCGTAACATGAAAGCTTGGTACAGAGTCAGGGGTAAAATTATCAACTTTTCTACAGCATTGAGGAACCTCATACATTGATGTTGGCAAGTTGCTGGTAGAATATTTCCTGTCAACTCTAGAAATAGAATTATTTCTAAGAAAGCCTGGTTGGAGATCATATTTTGCTTAATATGTATACCAACATATTGTCTGGAATTCTGAAGTACATTTAAAACAATAGACCTGATAGATGGACACTGAAACAGCGAAGCTATACCCCTCTCGTACATTTCTTGAAGCCTAATGAATAAGTTCTTTTGTGCTTCACCATGGATATTACTCAGAAACATGTTGTTTTCTGGAATAAAAAAGTTTGGACATATTCCCTCATACACCCATTTAAGGATAAGTTTAAAACATACCCAAAAGCACTCTAGGAGATTTTGTGGAAACCAAGGAGGTATATTGTTTTGTTGAATAATCCAGAAAACTGCTGTTTTCATGTGATACGAACACAGTAATCTATCCTCTTCACTTAATCCATGATTAATAGACTCTTTTAAGAAGAATTTAAGCAGCACATAGGTTAAGAATTGACAATGATTCATTGAGTATACAAGTTTTTGTTCTGCTAAAGAGAAGGAAATTCTCCATTCTTTGTCTGCATGTTTTCCCAGTTTGTGTCCTATTGCTACAAAGTGGCATCCATTTCTGACTATGTCATCAACAATATAAGATGGGGGCCATGGATGACATCTGTCTATCCATTTGGAGGCAGGAGGGGGCCAAAAATTACAGACAAGACAATGGGCAGTGTCATACTCTGTTCCCGCTATAACACCACTATCACAAGGGCCATGTTCCTTCGAATTAGGTAAAACTTCTGAACACAAATTCTGTCTGTATTTGGAACTGGATATATAGAATCTGTCGTTTATTCTCATACATGCATTTTTTAAATATTTCCTGTGTGTTGGTGTCAGTACTTCAAGTAAGGCGAATCCTGGTGGGCTATCAGAACAATCACTGAGAATCAATGTTTTTCTACTTAAGTCATAGTTCTGAGCCTGATCTAAGTTCCATATTACCATGTGATCATTTGGCCAAAGCATTAGATCAAAATCTGACCCCTTTAAATCGAGTCCTTCTCTGCGACTCCCACTTTTCATTACCCTATCATCTTCTCTTGTGCTTATTACTTGATTCATCATCATATCTTTGAAGTCCATCAGTTCTCTCCTCATGATCACTTCCTGTGAGGACCCCACTTTGTAACACAGTCTCACAAACACAGACTCTGATAAGTGCTGTATAATCAAGTCCCTGAGAAAGAAAATATGAGATCAATATATAATATATGTAAAAAATATGTCAAAAAAATTAATGTTTCATTATCAGTGAGTGCTAGTTATATGAAGTTGTGTACATACATCATTTCTATGTGTTCCAACGCCTCACTAATTACAGGATTGTCATTTAATCATTGAATATATAGTAATATAAACATATTTTTGGGAAGTCATAAAAATAAAGCTGTCGTGATATCTGAACAAAATTGTGCAATTTAGGTGCGTCGGAAATATGGAAACTTTGGTGCGTCGGAAATATGGAAACTTCCTTTTTTGAATAATCCGATTTCAAATGATTTAGGTTTTCCATATATATATATATATATATATATATATATATATATATATATATATATATATATATATATATATATATATATATATATATATATATATATATATATATGAATTTTTAAATCAATTTCAAATCTACTAATGAGCCCGCATGGGGCGAAAGCGCTATAGATGAAAGTTTGTTTTTCATTTAAATTGGATTTTATTTTTATCCCTATACCAAGGTTGCCTCGGACGACAGTGGTTTTCTTAGGGGAAAAATTTTCAATGTTACATTCAACTACATGCACTATTTATGTATTACTTTTTTTTTTCCTGACGATGAGATATTAAAAATGTTCTTTTGATTTACACTCTTCTACAGAAACTGTTGCCCTTTACACAAATAATCTTACGACTGAAACAACATTTTTCCCTTTCTCCCACAACTTTATACATATATTTTAATAGATAAAAAAAAATCTTCCCCTTTTATTTTTCTATGACATCATAGACAACATTATAAATAATTTGTTTTTTAGATTTCAAAGTAGTAGCAGTATACTGCCTAAAAAATATCTCTAACAATCGAAAACTTACAGAGTATTGAAATTTTTGTTTAAGTCGTAAGGCTTTTTTAAAGAAGAAGGTTTACCGCCTTCTATACAATGTTCTCCATGTTTCACCTTTATAAAAACAATTGATGAAAAAAAAAAAAAAAAAAAAAAAAAAAACTGGCAAAAATATATTCATCAGACAACGATACATTTAACAAAAAAATCCCCGTTGGTATATCATTACGATATCTATAACACATTGAATAAAAAAAGATTATGTCAATATACAAAATTTATATACAATGTATATATTAGTTTTTGGTTTGTGTCAAAAAATTCAATTTGAGGAAATTTTAACACAATTTGGACGTGTAACTTAGGGGGTCAATACTTGTTAGTATCAATTCTTTTGAGAGAACAATTACCGTCGCTAATTTGTTCATGACAATTAAAATCTACCATCTTGCTAAAAACAGAAATGGGCTTAACGGGCGTGTTAGCTAAAATGTTTAATGCAGTCATGTTTTTAAGTAAAAAGTGTGGTTTATGATGGGTGGGAAATGTACATGTATTATTGTATATAAGTTTTAAAGAGTTTCAATGAGGTTGATAATTAGTACGGCATAATAATTGTAAGCATATTGCCTGAAATAATTAGCAAAAACGGCAGGTATTTAATCTTTATGCTTAAAAACAACGCAGTAATCTTCATAAAGATCATCCCTGTTTGCAGGTTTACACTTAATGTGACAGCATTAATTAATTAACCAGAAAGACTTGTAAAATGAAAAATAAGTTTACACAAGAAAGCCGAGAAATTATAGTTTGCTGATTTCAGTGGTATTTTAAGTTGTTTTTTTTTTTCAAAAGAAACCTTAATGATAAACTTTTCAGAAATCAGAAAAAAACAAATAAAATAGTTATACATAAATTCAAATCCACATAATGTAAGCACTAAATTTTATTTTGAATTCTTTTAAAAG